CCCTTGTGGCCAAGAAGGCCAATGGCATCCTGGGGTGCATTAGAAAGGGTGTGGTTAGTAGGTCAAGAGAGGTTCTCCTCCCCCTCTATTCTGCATTGGTGAGGCCACATCTGGAGTATTGTGTCCAGTTCTGGGCCCCTCAGTTCAAAAAGGACAGGGAACTGCTCGAGAGAGTCCAGCGCAGAGCTACGAAGATGATTAAGGGAGTGGAACATCTCCCTTATGAGGAAAGGCTGAGGGAGCTGGGTCTCTTTAGCTTGGAGAAAAGGAGACTGAGGGGTGACCTCATCAATGTTTACAAATATGTAAGGGGTGAGTGTCAGGGGGACGGAGTTAGGCTTTTCTCGGTGATGACCAGTGATAGGACAAGGGGTAATGGGTGTAAATTGGAGCATAGGAAGTTCAAGGTGAATATCCGAAAAAATTTTTTTACTGTGAGAGTGACAGAGCACTGGAACAGACTGCCCAGGGAGGTTGTGGAGTCTCCCTCACTGGAGACATTCAAAACCCACCTGGATGAGTTCCTGTGTGATGTGCTCTAGGTGACCCTGCTCTGGCAGGGGGGTTGGACTAGATGATCTTTCGAGGTCCCTTCCAGCCCCTCAGATTCTATGATTCTATGATTCTATAAGTTAAAGCTGTTCTTTGAGGCCTTGTCTGGGCAGGGCTGGGTTTGTGCTGGGATGGGGCTGAGGAGGGAATTGCAGCTGCGTTTTTCACCCCCTCTGGCCGCTCCTGGTGTCACCAGCTGCCTCAAGGGCTGAGTGACGCTGGGGGACGAGTGTCATGCAAACCTCTTCCCGGAGCAGGACAAGCTCTGATGGGAAGAAAGCTTTACTCCTCCTCCAGAAACCGCATCTCCACGACGGGCTGGTCATTGGGGTTGGCTGTGCTGCCCCGGGGCCAGAATCCACCATCTGCCTCTGGGATAACGTCCTCTTGGGTTTCTGGCATCAAAAAGCTGCTCAAAGGGCCTGTTCCTATGGAGTTAATGGATTTTTAAAAGGTAACTGTGGTCAGGATGAGAGCACAGGAGGAAAATCTAAAGTGAAGTTTCTTTTCAATTAATTTTTCTTTGTTAGGTGTGGGAAGAAGTGACTCTGCTGCCTGGAAAGCAGCAAAGCTGCTGCAGTCCCAGTTCCTGGCCCACCAGCAGCCCCAGGCAGCTGAGCTGCAGATCCCTGCCTGCTTTGGGGGCCATGGAAAGCACCAAAGGGGGGGGGGTCTCCGGGCTGGGATTACCTGGGACCATTTGACTTTCACCTCTTTGGGTGACCAGCTCCAGGGCTGTGGTTGAAAGCGTGACCACAGCACATTTATTTTTGTGTGTCCTTCTCACAATCTGGGTAGGATCAGGTGGCTTTCGGGGGTGTTTGATCACTTGGCTTCCTCTGGGCAGTGTTTCCTTTGCATCTCCTGGAGATGCTGTGCCCACAGCCCTGCTGGGCTGTCCTGGTGACAGCGTCAGGGGTGGACTGGGTGGTCTAAGGGACTTCCAACAGTGATGGTCTCGCTCAGGATGCACCAGGTTTTGTTCCTGCTGTTTTCTCTCCCCTCCTGCAGCTGGAGAGCCTCGGGCAGCTGGAGGCTGAGCTCCTCAGGAGCAGGAGAGTCTTTGCTGGCCGGTGGGTGAGCACCAGGGAGCAGAGAGGAGAGGAAACAGCCCCGGGAGAAACGCTGCAGTGAACACACGGTTTCCTGGGGGCTTCACATCCCTGGGAGCTCGTTGATGCTGTGCCCATCTCGCTGCCCATCACCCTGGCACAGCAGAGGACGAGTTGTCCCCAGGATCCCGGCTGTCCCCTCAATTCCCCACCCTGCCGGTCAGACCCCGGCTGGACATGGTGCTCTTGGCTTTACCTTTCCCGGGGGGTGCGGGCAGGATTCCTGCCCGGCACAGCCTCCATCAGCACACACGGGGGAAACTGAGGCTGGGGGGCTCTACAAGCACCCGCTGGCAGCGGGGGGTCCCACGGGGGTGGGTAACCCCCCTGGCTCAGCGCTGTGAGCAGCACTGGGGGGGCAGGGCCGG